CCTTCTTTACTCACAGGATGATGCTCGGCTCTCTCACCAGAATACATCTGATTATCTTAGTAACAGATCATGCAGCTTAATCACAAAGCCTTCATATGCATGCAAGACCTTGTGCTCACACCAAAAGGAAATGGCCACTTGGATATCAATCAGATCTCTACAAAATAATTGGGCAACTTGGTTCTTAGCAAACAGACATTGTAAGCCCATGTTTTAACTTAGAAGCTCCTCTCTTTATCATTCACCTATGTGTGAATTATAAAAGTTGTTGTTTTTTTTTTCTCGCACCAGATAACTCCCGTTGCTACACGGCGCCTGTACCATCTGCTAATTCTCACAGGTACAACCTCACACTTTTTTCTGTGAACTCAATTAACACCATACTGCATTTTCTCTTCAGACTTTATTTTTATCCTATAAAACTAATTGATTTCATGTTCCTGCCTGGCACATTCAGTGTACACTGTACTTTATCCAAGTAGCTCGTAAATTATCAGGCCAGTTTGGTATTCAGCAAGGACGACTTTTCAGCTGCACTCTAGCTATTTCCAGAGTCAACTCATTGACATCAGGGTAAATCCTGGATACTTGAGCTCCTTTGGGAATGAATTGTGATATTGTTAAATGGAAAGCAAGCTTAGTTTTATTGATTTAAGTTGTCAAAAAATATCTGCTGTTGGCATTTTAATATTTGCACAACTATTCTTGAATGTACAGATAAGAAAAGTGGGAAAGCTATGAAGGGGAAATCATTTAGATTCCACAACAGTTAAGATAGCGATCACTGTTAAAATAGTTAGCCAAAGTAAAAGCATTTCACGTGATATGTATCTATAATGATTAAAAAGCCCAGATATGTTTCCACTCAAAAAAGAAAAAGAAACTATTGATATAAACACTAACTTGTGTTCTGAATCACATTTGATGCTGATGGCTGGCTTGATTCCTCAGTTCCTTCGCCTGTCTAGCTCTGCCCTGTTCCTCATCACTCATCAGATCCACCTTTTCCAGTTTCATATTTAAGCTGCCTGTTTCCCAGCCATCTGTGCGAATTTATTCATGAGCCTTTGGTGTCGAGGGTTTTTAGCATTACTATAGTGTTCTGTTTGTCTGATCCTGATCCGTTTCTGTTTTTGGACGTTTGAGCCTGCCTGCCCCTGTCTGATGTGTTAGTCTGCCTGTCTTCAGACTCTTGTTGGATTCTTCTGTGAACTGAACCTGGATCTGCCCCTTTGGATTATCCTGTCTTCCTTCATCAGCTCAGCTCTGATCTCCTGTCAGCTCTGCAGCCTTATAGTCATCCGCATCTGGAACTATCTGGCAGGGTCCGTTGAGTCTGTTCAGTTGACCAGCTGGAATCATCCTCTTTCACTGGTGACAGAAAGAACTGTCAAACCAGGTTAGTGACTCATGCATCCATAATCATCCGCCGTCAGTCATTAACCTGTTTTTCTCCGATGGATGCTCATGCCCTGGATGCCCTAGCCGCTGCAACCACTGTGGATCCGTGGATCCGTCTGTTTTGAGTAAACACTTTTTAAGAAATCCACTGTCTGTCTTGCCTGATATCTGGGTCATACCTTCTGAGCTATTACATATGTATACTAAGGATAGGTCCCTTTTTGGAATATAATAAAACTCTATACTGTAAGCACAAGAATTATGCATTAAAACTACTAGTTGTTTGCTTGAGTGCTGGCTTTTCTGAATTGTAAGAATGTGTGCTCACTTTACTAACCGAAAGCGCAACATATTGTCATTATCAGTGCGTATGAAATCGTATGAAAAGTTATGCACACTATTTCGTACGTTTTGGACGTTTTTCCTCAAAAAACCACATCAGTGCCCATGCGCTGGCAGACAGAAAAAAAAAGCAGATCCGCGGACGGACGTAAAACTGGGAAAAACAGTGCAGTCAGCACTTATTCATGTCTCTAACTACGTTGCTTGCTGTTTTATATCTTAGGGTTAGGGTCAGGTTTAGGGCTAATTGTAATTTATATTCTATATTCGTGAATGGTGCGTCAGATGCGCATGCGCATTCGACGAAAAAAACGTACGAAATTACGGTGCATAACTTTTCATACGATTTCATACGCACTCATAATGAGAATAGGTTGGAAAGCGAAGCAGCTGCTAACAGGTGTATAGCATGACTCTAAATTAGGTGCAAAAAAATTACTATATTTGTCAGGTTTGTACAAATCTTTCGTTTTCACAAACCTGTTTTAGCAGATAAAAAATCTATTAATAATTTAAAGTTTCTAAACAAATCAACTAACAACAATGAAGCTATGCAAAGCATTAACAGGTCTTTACATGGTGAAGATTACTTGTTTTAGTTTAAATCCAGGATCAGAATTGGCAAAGAAAGGTATTTAGGGGCTTTAAATGTGTATAGTTTGTGTTCTAAAGTCACTGACTTGAGTATTTTGAGAAATTGTTGGGGTAAACGCACAGAAGGACTTAGTCAGGCTTACAAAAACTGGTTAGAGAAAGAAAAAACATCCAGCAATCAGCAGGTGTGTGGATGAAAACAATTAGTTGGCCATTCAACAGGTGTTCTACAACCAGCTGTCACAAGCAAGGTTTACAAAGGCTAGTTATCCATCCATCCATTTTCCCTCACGCTTATCCCAAGCAGGGTCGCGAAGGGTGCTGGTGCCTATCTCCAGCTGTCTAAAGGCGAGAGGCGGGGTACACCGTGGACAGGTCGCCAGCCCATCGCAGGGCAACACAGAGACAAACAGGACAAACAACCATTCAAACACACACTCACACCTAAGGGGACTTTAGAGAAGTCAGTTAACCTAACAGTCATGTTTTTGGACTTTGGGAGAAAACCGGAGTACCCAGAGAGAACCCCCGCATGCACAGGGAGAACATGCAAACTCCATGCAGAAAGACCCCAGGCCGGGAATCGAACTCACAACCTTCTTGCTACAGGGCAGCAATGCTACCCACCGTGCAGCCCCATTCTAATTATACAACATAAAATTGGAAAAAGTTGCCCAGACTGATCATTCTTAATTTTAAGCTTAACATTTTCCTGATAAAGTCAGAATTTGATTTAAAACATAAAAAGCGTAGATCCAACCTGGTTCTTTGGCATGGTGGATAAAGTGCAACATATTGCATCTTAAATAGTCTTTCTTGTAAAAGCTGATACAGTCTAGTACTGTAATTCAATTCATGCTGTGTTTGAGTTATTTTCAAATAAACATCTCATCACATCCAAGTTGAGTATGTACTGAATACTGATAATCTTAAATCTTTGTACACACCTATCAAAAGGTTGAAAGATGAACCTAAAAAGATTTTTTAAATGTAAATATTTACTCTAAATCTACAGTATCAACTACTGTAAAAATCTAACAGGGGAGAAATTAGAACCAAACAGAAAACAATCTCTTTGTGTCCCTGCGTATTAGCGTGACCACAGTGGGGTTGTTTGTGTTGCAGAAGGGGATCTACAGAGAGGAAATGACACAGCAACATGTGTGTTCTACTCTCTTCTCAGAAAGTAAGACTTTAGTTTCACATATTATGTGTGACTGGGAACTTTTAGCTCTGTTCAAAATATAATAAAAAAAGTTCTGAACATTTAGAATTCAGTCTGAATTATGTACATTATAGAAAATAAAAATGTAATAAAATAAGTTTCATACAGGTAAAAAAGATTTCATGAGAGATTTACACTCACCATGGGAAGAAGTTTCTGCATAATTCTGTTTAAGCCTTTAAACATGGACTCCTAAGGATTAATTTAAACTATTTAATGTAAATTTATTACATAAATAAGACATGGGCTCACAGTTCTTGTTTTTTGGTGGGGAATTGTCCTCTAATAAAACATGAGAAATACAGTCTCAAATATATATAATATAAAAAATACATCCCTTCTTATAATTGGCTAAATGCTGCTTCAGCATATCATATGTTGCCTGGAAAAATTCTGGTGCTCATTTAAGCTGATAGGTTACCTGACAGAACTATACATTTTCAGTTGTACCCAGATCGTCACCTTTGGGAAGACCATGCAGAAGCTTAATGTTACACTGCTTTATCAACTTCTGAACTAGTTCCAACGTGTCCTTGTAGTCAGTGTCTTTCAGAGTTTTAATCATTTCACCCGCTGTCCCCCTTTAAAGGAAAACTAATTGTTGGTATGAGTGGCCAAATTCAGGAAAGACTAAGTCTAAAGTTAGACACAGAACGAGAAATGTTTGATCCCTTGCAAACCTGTCCAGAGTGACGCTCTCATATTACAGTATCAAGGTCTAAGAAGGAGCAGAGCAGTAATGCAGAATCTGCTCCTGAGTGGACATCATCATGCACTAATGACATTTGCAGCTGCCCACACAGACAACTCAAATCCCTTCTGGAGAAAAACATTACAGTCACAATGATAATAACTATTCTTGCAGAAGTCAAGGTAAAACTTGATATACTCATTAACTATAACTGTCATCTATATTTTAGTATCATCTTGGTGTTTGGTTGCTTTGCTACATAGATGCAGGTGCAGGTGCTAGATGAAGGTAGGAACTCGGTTGTTAGGCGGCCAAATCCTTACCATGATTGAATACTTCAAAAGGAAAATGGTCTCAAACACACATCTTGACGTTTTCGGGTTTATTTAAGTTGTTATAACAGGCTAAGATAATGCTTATATGGTAAAACTGTGGAAAAAGATTTGTGGACTATGTGGAAATGTCTTTCATGACATCATACATCATAATGCTTTTAGATAGACTGTACAAATGCTGCCAAGACCTGTCAGCTAGAAGAAGAATAAGCCAGAAATCTTATTGATGATTACATGTAGTTGCAGTGTAAGCAACATTTAACCAAATATTAGTGGGACTGCATGTAAGACAACATGTGATTTTAAGTATGAATGGATTTTAGAAAATAGATTTTGATCATTTTTTCATAATGAGTTTATGTGAACTTTTGACTGGAACCATAAATGAGTCCTTAACAAGAATATGTCTTACCGTTTGGTTGTCCTCGTAGAGTTTGAGGTCATAGCCGCTTAGTTCAACACAGAATATGATTGCAGTCACACCCTCAAAACAGTGAATCCACTTCTTCCTCTCTGAACGCTGTCCACCAACATCCACCATCTTAAAGGTGAGCTCCTTGAAGGTGAACTTGTTCTCCACGATGCCTGTGGTCATGTCCCGGGAGCGTAAGATGTCTTCTACAGTGGGGATATACTCAGGCGCAGAGATGCGGTCTAGGTCGTTTAGGTAGTAGGCAGTGTTATCCTCTAAGTGGTATTCGTTGGAGCGCTGAAAGCACTCCTGAACCCCTGCATCTGCCCACAGACGTTTCATCACCCCCAGCAGCTCTGGAGTGATCTCCCCTTTACTCTCAGCTGGCCCTGTGAGGGCAAAGAGCTGAACAGCGTCGTAGGCGCGGTCAGCATTGTGAAAGTCTATCTTAAGGGTTGTGAGGGCCCGGATGATGCGGGTGAGAGAGTCGATAGCATTGTATAGGATGAGAGGCTTGTACTCCTTGCAGGCTTCCAGGTTGAAGCCACCACTGTGAATGATTTTCATCTGTTTAACAATGGTGCTCTTGCCGGAGTTGCTGGTCCCCAACAGGAGAAGCTTGATCTCACGCCTTTGCCGTTGACTTTCTGAGCGCAGATGGCGGTCAATCCGCCTTGAGCGCCGAGCCGCCTCCTTCTCCTCCGAGCTCTGACGGCATCCCATGGTCCTCCACCACGTCGTTAGCACAAAGGAACTCGTGCTGGTGCTGGATGGGAAAGCAAATTATAAAGAAGAGGTGGATCAAAAGGAGGTGCTTGTGGTGGTGGCGAAGGAGTTGAAGACTAATTCTGTTGAGTGCAAAGACGCAGGGAAGGATGTAGACAAAAATCTGCTACAGATCAGTTTTAACACAAGACAGTAAATTGGCCACACAGAGGAGTGGCACAGGGGTATTCAATCTGTGATTTCTGTGTGGGCAAAACCCAGACTTGTGGGATGCCCACACAGTGCCTGGCACTGAGATTGGACCGCCTACTGAAGCCAACAGAGCTGAGGTTCATAGCAGGGGCTGCCTCTGAGGAAAAGTACTGGTGAAAGGCTGGAGAAAGATTACTGTATGTCAGCAGAGAACATGGACTTGTTGCTTCCAAATATGAATTCCCAATCACTGTCCTCCCACATGGCTCTGGTGCTGTGTTGTAACCATGCACTTTTGCTTGGTATTTAGCCTGTTGTGTTTATTCCAGGTGATAAGGAAAAAAATCTTCCTCTTCTCTTCTTAGATATTTCCCCAAGGATAGGATGCCTGCCAAGATAGACAGTGAAGAAAAATAAGTTTTTACATTCAGTTTTATACATGTGTCACAGTAAATTAGCTGTAAAAGGAATAGCTGTTGTGTAGAATCTAAGATTCATGTCACTCTAGTGTTTGACTTTTTGTATAAAACATCTTTAGTGGGTATTACAATGTTCTGAATCCATCATGCGATAGGTAATATGACAACAATAAAACATAAAATAGTTAAAAATCGGCCAAAGCAGAGAAATAATTTGATATTTTGCAGGGAATTCAAGCATTTTGATTTGTATTCCTATGTCTATGCTCAGAAACATCTGTTTCATTTTTCTATTTCTTTTCCTTTAGCATCATAAACAAGATTTAGTTTATTAATTCAATGTGATGTCAATTTCTACTCTTACAAACAGACACACTTCCAATGGGAGGAAAATATTACTTTTGCTTTAAAGGAAGTTGGGGCAAATTCCTAGACTTTCAGTACAATACAAGTCCAAAATATCAAAATAAAGGTTCTAGTTGCTTGAGTCTCATACTAGGAGAGGGCAGTAATTACTGTATATGAGATATCTCCACAGAAATTCCTGTCCTATTACTTCAATTATTTTAACAATAGTTTTGAGACAGGAGCAAACATACTATTGTGTCACTTGTCCGCTATGAGATCATGTACCTAAAAAGCAAAACATGTTTCTTCTTTCTTTTTTATGCTCTGATTACACCAAACCCATAGTATTTTGCCCAATAACAGGGTCCACCAATTAAGTTCAAGTGTGTTCAACTGTCTCCGTAGTAATGACAAAAAAGTTTAATGATTGCCATAACAAAATAGAATTTGCAATGAAACCAAATCCTGTGATAAGGCCATGAACAACACCACTATTATATGTTTTTTCTATCCACCTTGAACAATGAGACGAGCACAAGTATGAAAGTACAGCAAAGAGCCTTTAATACTGAAGGACAAAAACGGTATAACTGCACAAGGAAGCTTCACTGCATGCAGAAGGAAAAAAAATGACAAACACTGGTCTCTTCCACTAAGCTCCCTATCGTCAAAGCTAAGTAGGAAAAAGTTTGCCAGAGGTTTGCACTCTTGGTCTTGTCTATTTATCTCATTACCAGCTTGCCAAATGTTTCTGGACTCCCAGCTTTGTATTAAATGATCTACTTAATGTAATGTACTTTGTAATTTCAGGGGAGATTTTTTATTTAAAAAATAACAACGAACAAAAGGAAGCTATCTAGGACATTGATCAGATTTTCTTATTACCGTAAAAATAAAACCAACCGATTGACAAAAACCTGCTTTCTAAAATGAACAATAAAAAAGGTATTCCATCTCTACAAAGATCTCAAAATCATGTTATTAACGAAAAGGCTTTATACAATTAAGGTGTGGGTGGTTAGGTTGCACACAAGATGAATGATTGGAAGACAACAGCAGCATAATTTTATATGTCATCTTTGGTAAATAATTGACAGAAGAAAATCTTCTGGCTCCAGCAATCACAAAGCATTCTGTACAAAGCAGATGTAAGACTCCCTTTCCCAAGTAGTTATATCCCGTCTAAAAGGTTCCTTCAAAGAAAAAGGTGTATACCTCTATAGGGAGTCATCAGTTATCCCATAACCCTCAGGAATAAAGATCAGCCCATATTGTGTATATATATATATAAAAAAAAACACATAATATTGCCTGGGATATACAGGTTCCATATGCATCCAATGTAAATCAGAACATTTTGGGAGGTAAGTAAGGCACTCCCATTAAATGATTTAGTAACGACTATGATGTCTGTAAAACTGTGTGCTAAAGCAATACACACTATGATAAATAGGTGTTGTCTTGTATAAGAACAGTTTGGGCACCACATGATATTTCACCAACTTCAACTTTAAAGGGATGTGAGTGCTCAGCACAGCCAGCACTGATGAACTGTCCAAAAATGTTTTGGCAGACCGACACACAGCCTGAAAGGATTTGGTCCAGATTAAAGATTCAAATGTACTAACCCGTTTAATTAGAGGACTTACCACATTTGAAAAAAAACTTGATTAAAATCCAACTGCTATTGCAAATTACATCTAGCTGATGCTAAGAGTTTGATTCCTTTTGTGGGGGTGTTGATGCTTTGGAGATCAATAAACTGAGTACGTGGGAAATAGTCTTGTTTTGGAATTAAAAAATCCTGGGTTTTAAAGCAGAAAAACTAAACTTACGTTTTTAATCACAACTGTTACAATGAAAAACATACAGAGATGTAATTGGGACTCATTTGTAACAAAGTTAGCCAAATGCAGATGTTCATGTTTTGTCTCAGACCTAATGAAAGGGACCTGAAACCAGAAAAAAAATCCCTGAGAGTTTGTAGTATTGGTAGGTCTTTAATTTCTTTTCTGTTTTTTTTTTTTTTTGGCTTTTTATAAGGAAAAAAAAAATCTTAATTAATAAATCCTGCCTGACTTATCCCATAAGATTATCATCCACAAAGCCCTATGTAGCAGTGTCATTATTATTAGCTAGTATTTTTTTCAAAGTCAAAATATCACTACACTATCATAGTAAGGTGTAGATATATTAATTTGTATATCGAAACATATATGTTTACACCAACATCACTGCCTTAAAAACAAGAAAAATGTTTTATAGGATTTTTTTTTTACTCTTTTTGCCAGAACAGACCCTGGAAACTGAGTTTAATTTATAGAGTAACTTTGTTTACTGAGGTTAAATTATTCATTTGTTGTTGTTTCTTTCAGGATCTAAATCACTTCAAATCACTTAAGTTTTATTAAAATCAGTGACAGCATTTAATAATTGTGCATTTTAATGAAAATGCTGATGAGTCTTGTATAATTTTGAGTTAACAAAACATTTATATTTTGTGACTTTGGACTGATCCGGGAAGAAAATGCTAATGACATCTCACCAAGAAATGTTTAGCACCCTGACATAAAAAAGGACTAACTGTTATGGTTCTCCCCTTTTGAAATTTTGAGTTTTTAGTTTTCAGTTTTTGCTATCAAAGTAAGTCTGTTTTGTTGATCTTAGGTTTATTTTTCATTTTGTGTTATATTTAAGCCAGTCTTCAATTACTCTCTGTTTCCCCCTTGTGCCTGTCTCCTTTCCCCTAGCTCCCTTAGTTTCTGGAATGTATATTTCTATATTCAAACCAATCACATGATAAATTCCCTGACCTAAAAAAAAGGATTTGCCTCACTCATCTGTTTTTGGGTCGTCAATCAACCTCACCTAGGGTGGCCAGATGTCCGGCTTTAGGGCGGACAGTCCGGATTTTCATTGCACTGTCCGGCGTCCGGCGCTGCACCCAGCCGGACGTGTATTAGTCCTCCTTTACCCCCAGATTCCACATACTCCGTCAGCGCTCCGCCCCGCTCACGTACGGAGTACTTGTCTGTCATGTAAATCAATGAGAGCTGTTCCACATCCTCCGCTCGTCACCGCCCACGTACGTCTTCTCCGTCCTTCACCGTCAAAATACGGAGCTGAGCTATTTTTTGCTCCTCTCCGGTCCGTCCAGATCAAGACCCGCTATTGCAATCGCACCAAACAGAAAAAAGAATGTAGAGAAGACCCGGTTTGTCAAATTAAATTATAGTAAAAACAGATCGGTATCTAGAAATTAGAGCATAGTTTGTATATATTCCCAAAAACTAAGAGCAATTAATTAAATAATTGGATGCAGACTATTGGTGCTTCAACAGACCAGGAAGAAGTTGTGAGATTCTAGAGTGAATCTCACAACTTTAAAAGAAAATTCTTATTGCAGGAATGAATGAAGAGATGATGAGTTTGGAAGCAGAGAATAAACAGAGTTCATACAAACTATGTATGATCCTAGTTATCCCTGTTACAAAAATCCACAACAGAAAGAAAATATTTGGGCAGAAACTGAACATCTGCTGGATGATGATGGGGATTTTTTTAATATGTCAGATTAAATTAAGCGTTCACAGGTTTTATACAGGAATGAGGAACTCTAATTTAATGCTCTTTTAATGCTATTAGAAATAATTTTAATGCCATCAACAAGTATCATGTACACAAGTTATTAGTTTACATGAAATAAGGAGCTGTAAGCACAGTTCCATGACTCGTTTATATATATATATATATATATATATATATATATATATATATATATATATATATATATATATATATATAGATATATATATATATATAGATATAGATATGGATAGATAGAGAACATGGTGAAATCATCTTTACTCTCGACAGGCTGCAGCCATGTCATGAATTCCTCTTTTCCAGCCACTTTTTGCAGTTTGCATCGTCCTATTCTCTAGCTCTTTCTCGAGCTTCTTTTCCAAACAACTGCTTTATGATCAATTGCAGCAGTTCTGCGCAAATTAATCGTGTTAAAAAATGGTCACTTTTTAAACACCACAATGTATTAAATAAATACAAATGCTGGGAACCAATTCTTTTTTACATTTCTTTAATATTTTGTTCTATTCAGCTACACAAGCATCCTCTTTAAACTACTAAGAATTGTGCTATAAATGTAACTTTACCCGATTCTTATGTACACCTTAGTAATTTATTGATATGCCGCACAATGTCCTCCTTTTTGGTGCTATAGAAATGGCCACCCTAACCTCACCGCCCTTGTTGACACTAACTTCTAATTTCAAGGTTAAAATTTTGCAGCTAGGTTTTTACCATGGAACATTTAATTCAGTCACCTTTCTGAATTAATGTCACACTTTATTGTTGGTTTAGCACAGATTAAATTGAGGACATGCAATGTGTCCCTAAAGCTCTTTTTACCCATTAGATGAATAACATTGATGGCCCCAGTACTAATTTCATATGACCATTAAGAATTAGTAAACATCAACATTAATGTTTCTCAAAGGATTATAAAATCTAATCATGATATAGAGAGCATGCACAATAAATACCAAGGTCATGTGAAAAATTAATTTGTGTATAGCAAAAGTTTTAAGACAATGAGTTTTCA